CTACGGTAGAGGGAAACAATTAGTGAACACCCCCCCTGCCCCCCAAACTCAAGGTTGGCACGCGCGGGGGAGACTGCGGTCGAGGTGCAACTCATCAGACCCATCGCCAACTTTGAACATTGGGGGGAGGGGAGGCGTTCACAGAAGAATGTGGCATGAGTGTTCGCTATTTTTTGTCCGAGGCCTGTGTGAATCCATCGTGACGCCGTGGGTCTGCGACCCCGCGGGCTCGCGGACCGCGACCCCGCGGGCTCGCGGGCGTCTCCTTGTTTTCGCCGACGCCCCCCGCGCGGACCTGGAGAGATGCGACGCCTCGGCCAGATTATAGACTCGCCACCCACCAAACCACCCCAACCCAACCCGAAGGCTCAAAGTCACCGTCGATCTCCAGTGGGGGGGGGGGGGGGTCTGGGAACATCGAAAAGACACGCGTGGAACCCTTACCCCCCCCCCCAACCCAAAATTCGGGTCTTCGGGTTGGGTTGGGGTGGTCTGATAGGCAGTCATATCGGCAACACCCCAACATACTTATATTATATGTGCGTCGCCCTCCTAGGGGCGACGCGCGCACCGAGGAATCTTATAGTATATGCGTTGTGGCGGGCGCATTCTGGCCACACCGCTCGGGAAACGATATACTACAAGATGGGTATACTATATGTTCGGGTCGGACGCGCGCGTCCAAGGATGACATATAGTACTAGTACGTCTTTGTGCATCCCATCATAGACGCCGTGGCAGGCCACGACCCGGCCCCCATGGGGCCCCCTCTTCCTGCGCGCCACCCTTTCGGGGCCCGGCTCGGGGGCGAGCCGCGAGGGGCCCCGGGGCCCGACGGTGGGGCGGGCGCGCGCCGGCTCGCAGGCACGGGCCCTGACCCAAACACCTTCCTGTCCTGCTCTTCCTGCTCTTCCTGTCCTGCTCCCGCCTCCCTCCTCGCTCCTCCTCCTCGCTCCTCCTCCTCCTCCTCCTCGCTCCCTCCTCCTCCTCCTCCTCCTCCTCCTCCTCCTCCTCCTCCTCCTCCTTCCCACTGGGAGCGCAGAGAGCTATTTTTTTAGCCCTGGAGGCCCAAACACCTTCACAACAAGCAACGAAACAGCCTCACACCAAGACATATAACAGCTCTGGGATCGGTTTTTAGGTCGCGTGCGATTTTTGTGGCCCTCCTGGAAGGCCAGGGGAGTCGCCAGGATCTCCGAAACAGCCTAACACCACGACGTATAAGAGCTCTGGGATCGGTCTTGAGGTCGCGTGCGATTTTTGTTGGCCCTCCTGGAAGGTCAGGGAAGTCGCCAGGATCTCCGGGGCCGCCCTCTTCTGGGGCGGGTGCCCCGCGCGGAGCGTGGCCGAGGCGGGAATCTGGACATGGCCACCGCCCGGAGGGCCAGCTCTTGGCGCCTCGGCACGTCCGCCGCCCGCTGGGGCTCCAGGGCGTCGGTTCCCAGGGCGGTGGATACTCCAAATCCCTTATTAATCGACCCCCCCCCCTAAAAAACCGGACCCCCCTCCAAATGCGACCTAATATTCCGGACCCCCTCTTCGAGGGGGCGCCTTAGTAAACCAGACCCCCTCAGCTCCAATCCAAAGAAAGCGACCTAATAAACCGGACCCCCTTAATGACCAAAAAGGCGCCTTAAAAAACCGGACCCGGGGGACGATTAATAAGGGATTTGGAATATCCCAGAGCTATTCTATGTCTTGGTGTTAGGCTGTTTCGTTCCGTTTTTCAGGTTTTTTTAGGTCCCCCGCGCGAAAGAATAGCTCTCTGGAAGGTCGGGGTATGGAGAAAAATCCTGGCCTCGCACGATGCATCGACGATGTGTCGCCGACTTGAGCTCGGTGCCTCCCCCCCTGACCTGGTCCGCCCCCCCGGGCGTGAAGTCGTGCCTGGCCCTCTGCAGGAGGAATATGCAACAATAGGAAACAGAGATATATTCAACGTAGGGCGCGCTTCGCGGCGTGGTGATCCGCGCGGCCGCGTCCCTCGCGGGGAGGTCGCGCCGCGCCCCCGGGGGCCGAAACGTATCCATATCTGCCGCCCGCTGGGGCACCAGGACGTCGGTTCCCAGGCGGTAGATATGGATAAGTCCCCGCTCCGCAGCATGGTGATCCGCGGGGGCGCGGGCAAGCATACCCTGACCCTCCAGAGAGCTATTTTTCAGCACGGGAGACTTGAAAACCCAAAAAACGAAACGAAACAGCCTAAAACCAAGACATCGAATAGCTTTGGGATAGGTTTTCAAGTCGCGTGCTACAGGCCTCGGAACACATTAGCGAACACATGCCACAGTTATCCGTCAACGCCTCCCCCTCCCCCCAATGTTCAAAGTTGGCGGTGGGCCTGATGGGATGCACTTCGGCCGCGGTCTCTCCCGCGCGTGCCAACCTTGAGTTTGGGGGGGAGGGGGGGGGTGTTCAGTAATTGTTTCCCTCCACCGTATTGTTTGGGGCCCTCCTGGAAGGTCAGGGTAATAGGGATGCGTGCGGCGCCGCCCGCGAGGCGCCGGGCCCCGGGAGCACGGCGCACCTGCCGCTGCCCAAGCGGCGGAAGGCGGCCCTCGGCCGGGGGGGTTGGGGTCGGCGGCTCGTGCGAGAGGTCGGGGTCGGCAGCTCTCGTCTTAAGTCGGGCCTGTGCCCCTACAGGGGGATGTTCGACGAAAAAAATTAAAACACATCCCAAGAATGGGTCCGATGCCCAGCAGCAGTTTCTGTTCCTTTTGAACAGGGCTCGCTGTCGGCGTCGCCGCGGCCTGTGTCCATTCGAGACGGAGGGCCGCCTGCCCAGCAGCGGCCACTGTTGGCTTGGGACAGCACTCGTTGTTGGGCAGTGTGCCCATTCTTTCCGTACCCATTTCCTCCTCTTCCTCCTCTTCCTCCTCCTCCTCCTCCTCCCCCTCCCCCTCCCCCTCCTCCTCCTCCTCCTCCTCCTCCTCCTCCTCCTCCTCCTCCTCCTCCTCCTCCTCCTCCTCCTCCTCCTCCTTTTCTTTCGGGCGTCCAAATCGGGAGGCGGCGCGTCCGAGAGAGGTCAGGGTCGGCAGCTCCCGTGGCGGGCAGTGCTTCTTCTCAAACTGGAACGGTATGCATTACCAGTGGCGGGTTGTTTTTCAATCCCGCGACTCTTTAAGGGTCAGGGGCGACGTCGGGGTGGTGTGGTGTGTACTTTTCCCCTGTGTTCCAAGGGAAACCACGGAAAATGTATGCACCAGGGTCCCGTATACACCAGAATCCGCGTTCCTGTGCGGATTTCAGCGCAGGGTCGGGGAAAGCGTCGGTGTATAGAGTTCGTTTCCCTACTTCTATCCACATCCAGTGCGTCTTGGAGTCTTGGGCCCTCTTCCCCAGGAACCGGAGACGCCCTGGATGTGGATAAAGAACATCTGGCCCCGAGAGGCTCGATTGTGTCCGTATCCGGTGCGCCACGGCGTTGCGGCACCTCCCCCCGAAGAAGTCCAAGACGCTCCGGATATGGATATAATAAATACTGCCCGCACTCGTGGCCTCGGCGCGTCAGGAGGGTGTCCTCACGCAGGGTGGGGGGGACAAAACGACGCGAAGATTGGGACAAAATCGGATCGGGATAACTCGAAATCTCTGAGAATCGGCGGGTTTGGAGGATGTATTGGGCGCCGCGGCCGCTCCAGAGCGTTCCGGAACGCTCTGAGAGCGCTCCGGAACCCTCTGGAGCGATTTATCCCGATCCTAGCCCTGTTTTAGTGGATGGCACGTGGGGGCTGGAGTGGAAGAGGCGAGCTACACGAAACGCTGGGGGAACATACTTACGCAGGCCGAGCGATTTTCCTCTGGGGCCCGAAGTGTCGGAAGCGACGCGCCGTTCGGGCGAGCGGATACATGCAGCGTTCTCTTCGGCTTGGGGCGTGCCATATGTTACGGGAGGAGATGCGGGAATCGGCCGGGCCCGCAGTAGACCCCCCTTCCCCCCGTATGATCATAGCTTCGGTCAGCAGGTCCACAGTTCCGTGGATAGCATGATGCTTCACGTGCGGTGCCCCGCGTGCGGTGCCCCGCGTATCTCATTTCCCTCGGTCCACGATGTTAATTATAATTAGATATTAATTTCTGGAAAATAAATCTATATATTGTTTTTTTTATACACACACGGGAAATTGGATCCACGCAAGACAGACATATAATCCACGACACTGTCGCACACCCGAAAAAGGATCCAATTGGATCCGTCGGTGTTTTCACTTTTTTTAGTCCAAGAGGAAAAACTTTCGGCTTGGGGATGTATTGCCGCTGAGGGCGATGGGCGATATGAGCGGAAAGGAGACGACACAGGCCTCCAGCATCGGGGCTGGTACATGTCCGTGGTCGAACACTGGCCCGATCTGGCAGAATCCCGTCTCACATGGCCGAATGCCGCTTCGTTCTGATGAGCTCCCCGCTTAACCCGCGTGGTCCGGCCCGACTCGGCCTAATCCTCCGACTCGTCCAGCCCAATCCGCCACTTGGCTTTGAGTCGAGCTCAATCGCCCTTGCGTGGTCCATCCTGCGAGGACCTCCCAGGAGTTGGCTCTTCACCGAGAGCCACACGCTGGCCCGGAGGAGCGGGTCCAGACACCTATAGGGTTGAGTCGGGCATGTCCCTTCACGGGAGGGATACTCAGAAATAGTCAAACAAACCGTATGGGGGGGGCGATTTCCTTGTCCTTTTTGGCTATTTTTGTGTTTTGACTATTTTTATTTTTTCGCCCACAATCCGCCTGTAGGAGGACATGCCCGACCTAACTCTAGGGATCCACGTATCGAAAAAAACATGCCGTCGGGGGTCTGGGGGGCGCCCAGGGATCACTGGTCTCAGCTTCCGAGCTCAAGTCGGCGGACGTCCGACGCAGCATCGACGCATGAGGTGGGCGAGTGGCTCCAGGAAGGTCCCCAGGACGAGAATCGAACCTTCCCAGGGGGTCGCCCTGGGGTCACTGATCTCAGTAATCCGAGGCGGGGTTTGTCTATCATAACCACCGCCTGGGGCAGTCGATCTCCGGGGACACCGATCGCCCAGCGGATCAGCATCACAGTCGATCACCCGCCCTGGCGCGCGAGTCGTCCTGTGGTACCGTTGCGGGCACGCAGCGTAACTCTCCCCATGGCTCCCCCATGGCTCCCCCCCAAGGCTTCTGATGTTCTAACCTACTTTAGCCTTGACCACCAGAACGAATGTCGAGCACCAAAAAAGTACCGAAACGAAACTCGAGGGTTTTCACGTGTCGGGCCCTGGGAGACACTCGTCCGACATTGTTTCGATACTCTTTCGGCACTCTTTTGATACTTTTCCAGGTGCTCGGAATTCTTTCTGGGATGTGATCTTTCAGCACGATGGGAGCAGCATAACCAAAGGCCCCTCGCGGCCACCTGAGGGCCATCCGCGCCTGGAGCCCTCAGGAGAGGGAGGGAGGGAGGGAGGGAGGGAGGGAGGGAGGGAGGGAAGGAGGTGGGAGGGAGGGAGGAGGGAGGGAGGGAGGGAGGGAGGTTTCCCGGGGCGCTGCGTCCCCTCGGTGAGCTCCGCTGCGCGTGAGAGGTGGACCTCTCGCGGGTGGTGACCTGTGGTGCGGGGCCCGCAGGGGCCCCCCTTATCACTCTCCTCCTCCTCCCCCCCCCCCCTCCCCCCTCCTCCTCCTCCTCCTCCTCCTCCTCCTCCTCCTCCTCCTCCTCCTCCTGACCTCTTCGAATGCAACTCCTGGAAAGTCAAATTCTGACTCTTGCCCCAGTCCGAGATCAGGATACTGTACATCCCGCTTAGTCTGGCTTGATCCACCTTAATCCGGGCTTAATCCCATTTATTCCCGCTTCAGCCGCTGCCCAATCCGGCGCAACAGCCACCCAATGTTGGAGGGGGCGAACTGGGCCATCCAGGGGGTGGATGAACAAGTGGGCCGTTCATCGGGTGGATGGAAGCGCGGTGGTGCGAGAAATCACAGCTGGGATTGCGGATGGCTCGGCCGTCCACTTTCACCTCGTCCCTCAACCATCTTTGCTGGAATCAGCTCCTGCCAGCTAGACAGCCCTGGGCCCTCTCGACTGTCTCCACTTCTCTTGCGTATTTAATGGTCCCACTGGCTTTCGATCTCTTCTCCCTTCATGTTTTCTCAGTGTCCTCCACACCTGTACTGCTGCCCTTCTAGACGCGGTGCACTCGCCTCGACGTTGGGTTGTCAAAAAAAGGGGGAGGAGGAGGGGAGGAGGAGGAGAAGGAGGAGAAGGAGGAGGAGGGAGAGGTGATAATGGGATGAATGAGGGAGGAGGAGGAAAAGGAGGTTCATAAGGATGAGCATGGAGGACGATGAGGGAGGAGGGCGGGAGCAGGATTGCGGAGGATGATGGAGGAGGAAGGAGGGGGGGCGGAAGGATGAGGACATGTGAGGAGGAGGAGGAGGAGGAGGAGGAGGACGACGACGACGCGGGGCGAAAAGGGAGAAAAGGGACGACGAGGTGCGGGGCGAGAGGGCAGGAATGCTGGCGGGGGGGAGGGATGGAGGGAGGCATGGGAGCAGGAGAAGGGGAGGGAGAGGCGGGGCGGTTTGGGATCGGTGCAAGGGCGCCCTGGGTCGCGGGAGCCAAGGCGGCCAGGCGCGCGAGTACCCTTCCCCCGAGGCGCGGAACGCCTTTCCGAGGGAGCTCTGGGAAGGGGTTCCATGAGCCGGGTGGATGGCCCACTTGGGGCCTCGGAGCATCAGCCGGACGGATGGCCCACTTGGGGCCCTGGACCAGTGCAGGGGTACTGGGTGCCCCGGTGTGATGTTCCATGAGCCGGGTGGATGGCCCACTTGGGGCCTGGGGGCGGCGAGGGGGTTGCGCGCAGGGCGTGCGAGGGTCGGGGGCGTGCATGAGCCGGATGGATGGCCCACTTGGGGCCTCGGGGGGGGCGGCCTCCAGGAGCCGGGTGGATGGCCCACTTGGGGCCTCGGAGCATCAGCCGGACGGATGGCCCACTTGGGGCCTGCATTCGGCCTCCGCGGAACAGCGTTCGGGAAGGGCTGCGCGCCTTCCCGGAACAGCGTTCGGGAAGGGCTGGCGGCGGAGGGAATGGGGAGGGGTGGGAGCGGGAGAGCACGAGGTTGGAAGAAAGGGGCAAATGGAGGGAGGGAAGGGGAAGGGGACGGGGGAAGGCGAAATAGGACAGGGGAGCTGGGGGAAGGGAGGGGGAGGGGGGGGGGAGGGATGAGGGAGGCAGAGTGCGAGAGAAAATGGGCGCGGTTGGCAGATGTAAGTAGCGGGCTAGCATCAGTGAGGCGCTGAACGACACTGGTGTGGGACGCGGGGCGACGACGACGACGACGACGACGACGACGACGACGGGGGCGAAAAGGGGAGTGAAGGGAGAAAAGGGGAGGTGGCGGCGGAGGGGGCAAGGGGCTGCGCGGTGGGCGGAGGCAGGGGGAGGGCCAGCACGGGAGCGTGCACGGGGCAGACCAGGCGAAGTGGCCACTTCGGCGCCACAGAAAGGGCGCGGCGGTCGACGGGCACACCTAGGACGAGAAGGAGAGAGGGTGGCAGAACAGCAATTCCAAGGCTGCCCCTCGCAGACAATTTGGCTTCACTCGTGCGGCCTGATCCCGCTTCGAGGTGTCTCCATGTCGACGCGGTAGCGGGCCGTGGGCCGAGGCGACCGAACTGCTCCGAACGCTGGGCGGAAAGGCGTTCCAGAAATCTTGGAACGCCTCCCCGAAAGCCGTTCCATGCACCCTTTCGACGGCCCACCTTCTGGATGGCCCTGTTCGCCCCGCCTAACAATGGGGCTTAATTCTCTTGAACCAGTCCGGCGGAGACCTCCCAGTAGTGGCCTCCTGAGACCTGCGCGTCTGCATTTGGCCCCCCGCAGCCCCGTCCGGAAAGCCGCGCACCAGAGGCCATTCTTGCTGAGGGCCTCCCTTGCGTGCAGCAGATGAGCTTCCCTCGGGAGCTCTCCTCGGGAGCTCCCTGGCGCGAAACCGTCCCAGACGCATTCCTTCCCCAGAGCCTCCCTGAAAGCTTGTTCCGAGGGGTGCCAGGGACGGCCCGGGTGCTCACAGAGTGGCCACGACGGCCCAAGAGGCCTCAAAACCCAAGGCAGCCCCAGCGAGGTCACAAAGTGGACCCCCAGACCGCCCCAGTCTTTGAAGCTCCAACAGAGTCCCTATGGCCTCTAGCAGTCTAGCATTATCTGGGAGTCAGCGCTTATTTGATTTGATGCTGTCCCCGGAGGGCTTCGGAGGAGCCACTTGGCGCCCCAAAAGGGGCCCAAGACGGCAGGACTGGTCCAACGAAGCTTCCAGAGGGCCAGATGTAGCTTCCACAGGAAGCCAAGACAGCCCCAGAGGGCCCCAAGACGACGCTAGGGTGGCCCACAAGCGCCACGATATGTCCGAAGAGGGCTTCAAGATGGCCCCACAAAAGACCAAGAGGGCCCAAGAGAGTCCACGATGGGTCCAAGATGGCCCCGAGAGGGAACAAGAGAACCCCAGGAGGACCCCAAGCCAGGCCCCCCAGTTGTCGATGATGTGGATGATGATGTTGCTGATGCTGCTGCTGCTGATTATTATTATCAGTATTAACGTTCTTATGATGATGATCATGATGCTGCTGATGATGCTGATGATGGTGATGATGATGCTGATTGTGATGAGTGCAATGGTAATGGCGATGGTGATGGTGGTGGTGATGATGACGGTGATGGTGGTGGTGGTAATGATTATGCTGATGACGATGATGACGGTGTTGTTGATCATGATAGTGATGGTGGTGGTGAAGATGCCGACGATGATGAAGATGATGTTTATGATGGTGATGGTGATGGTGACCGTGATGGTGATGGTGATGACGACGATGATTATGATGATGATCATGCTGCTGCTGGTGTTGAAGATGGCGGTGATGATGACTATGGTGATGATGTTGATGATGGTGATGATGATGATGATGAAAGTGATCGTGATGTTACTGATGAAGAGTGTGATGGCAGCGGTGATGATGATGGTGCTGCTGCTGATGATGGTGATTATTATTCGTGCGATGGTAATGATGATAATGCTGATGCTGTTGATGATGTTGATGCTGATGATAGTTGTGATGGTGGTCATGGTTGTGAAGATAGCTGCGATGGCGACGGCGGTGGCGATGACGATGCGTACGAGGAGGAGCACCCTGGCGACAGGCGGGAGAGCGGCACTCTGCCGTGCGTCTGTCCGCACGTCCCCGCCCGTCCCTGCCCTTTCTGCATCCCCGCCCCTTCGTCGACTCCCCAGGTCCCTCCCCTATCGAGCTCGGCTTCCAAAGACCCCGCTCCCCCCCCCCCTGTCGACTTCGCCGGCCGTTTCTCCACGATCGACGGAGTGTGGAGGGGAGAGAGAAGAGGAGGGGAGGAGGAGGAGGAGGAGGAGGAGGAGGAGGAGGAGGAGGAGGAGGAAGGAGAAGGAAGCAAGATACGAAAGGGGAGAGGGGGGAATAAGGAGGAGGAGGGGAGGAGGAGGAGAAAATGGGGGGGGGCCAGGAGGGAGCGGGGATGCGATGCGAGGGATTGAGGAGGAGCGAGGAGCTTGTCATCGACTTCCCCCCGTGCCCTCTGGATCGAGCCTAGTCCTCCTTGCAGGTGGGCGCGCAGACGGGGAAGCCGGCCACTGGTGGCGAGCCCGCCTTGGCTGTGCCGCCGCCATCTGCCGCTGCCCTCGCCGCCCCTGGGACGGGGGAGGAGGAGAAGGGGGACAAGTGGGCAGATGGGGAGGAGGACGAGGAGAAGGAGGCGGCAAGACTAGAGTAAGCCCAAGATGCATCCACGCTGAGGCCAGACGCCCGCCAACCCCAATCCCCCTCCTGTTGAGCCCCCGATGAACGTGCAGGAGGTCCTCTGCACTGCGGTTGAGTGCACCCGGGATTAGACGAGGTCCTCCTGGCATGCAAGTCGGGCGAGAGCCCTGTTCGGAGGAGAAGCTGCCGTCCATGTTCCTGCAAGAGGCGGCGACACGGTACAGTGCCGTTTTTTTTATACATGCCCCGCGTGCGGATCATGTATTCAAAATGCAGGGTTCTGTATCAAAAACAACGATGAGTTCATGCACACATGTAATCATGCATGAATCATGGATTAAAACTTCGGTCTGTTTAAAGATCCGATTTCTGAAAAACTGCCCAGTAGGACCAGCGAGTCAGACGACGTGCCCAGCAGGAGGCCTGCGTGCAGCAGAGGAGCGGCACCCGCAGAGCGCGGCGGCCCTGGCCCCGCATGCGCAGGGCCCCGGGGCGCACTGCGGCGCGCCAGCTTCGCCACGTCGCGGTGGCGGCTTGAGCATGGCCTCTCTCGGGCCCCAAGCTGCGGAGTGGCTATCCTCCTCCGCCTCCTCCCCCCCTCCTCCTCCTCCTCCTCCTCCTCCCCTCCTCCTCCTCCTCCTCCTCCCCCTCCCCCTCCTCCTCCTCCTCCCCCTCCTCCTCCCCCTCCTCCTCCTCCTCCTCCCCCTCCTCCTCCCCCTCTCCTCCTCCTCCTCCTCCTCCCTCCCCTCCTCCTCCTCCTCCTCCTCCTCCTCCTCCTACCTCCTACCTCATGAGTTTTCGGACGAGTGGGGGCTGTCGGGAAGTCCGCTCCCGAAGCGCGCACTGTCCCGAGCAGGCCCCCGGCGCGCGCAGCTTCTCATGCGAGGCCATGGCCTCGCCCGCCTCGCCCTGAAGGGGCCCGGGCGCATGCCCGCACGGGCGTTCCGTTCCGTCCCGGTCCGTTCTGGGGCCCGCCTCTGTACACCGTAGGCGATGCTTAAAGAAACTAAAATTTTCTGCCAGAGTCTCGATTATTCTTAATGTTTCAGTGTAAATCCTACAAATTGGGTAGAAATTTGGAGTTTTTATTCAAACTCTGAGACTATGAATTTCTTAACCCATGATTTCTTAAGCATTTCGCAGGGTGTGGAGTCAGGCCGATCTGTGCTCCATGCTCTCATCCTCGCAGTGTGCAGGGCGTGCCGGAGGGGCCTCGCGCGGTGCGCAACGTTTTTGCACGATCTAGTCCCCGCAGGCGACGTTCGTTGACGCGCGGTCCCGTGCCGCCGTGGGCCCGACGTGGATCCGACGCAGACGGGGCCTCCAGTTGCCGCACGAGGCCTGCAGGATCCTCCTCGTGGCCCTTACAGGGCTCGTTTCGATTCCTCCGATTCGATTCGATTCGATTTCGATGGTTTCCGATTCCGATTCGATTCGATCTGGGATTCCGATTTGAGTTCCGATTTCTTATTGGAGGCATACTAGGTTGCCGATTTCTGCCGATCCGACTCTTCCCGACTCGGCTGCCGATCTCCGACGATCCGATTCATGTCGATCGCCGATCCGACTTGTCGATCCGATCCTGGGCTCTCCTGCCCTTACAGTCGGGGCGCTGAGGAAGGAACCCTTTTCGATGTGGAGGGGCTCGGTGTTCCTTCGTTGTTTTGCAGTTCGCCTTTGGTTTTGCTCAGGGTTTTGATGGGAAATCGAAGTTTGACTTATGGGAAAAAGGGGCCTGGTTCCTTATTTGGGGTTCCGTAGGTCAACGCCCCGACTGTACTTCTTTGCATCCCCTGCCCCTGAGCCCTCTCCGCGATTGCCCCTCCCCTCGGCGCTCCGCTCCCAGGCGCTCACGGCAAAGAAGAGGCACGGGAGGGGAGCAGGGGAACAACAAGTGACATAAGTATACAGTGAGCGGCTTGAGTAAGGAACACTTACTTTTCAAAAGGGTCTCGGTCGTTCCTTAGGCTCGGATGCGTTCTTTACAGTTCCTGATGCGTCATTTGTTATTTCTAGTTCGTTATGCGTTATTCCTTGGGATAAGAAAGGGGCTTCGTTACTTATTTATCGTTCCTTAGGTCAGGCCGATGACTGTAAAAACTCGGAGGTCCGCGCGGGTTTCTCGGATCGGTGTTGGACCCCCCTCCCTGGCGCGCGGAGCGCGCCAGGAGCGGCGCCGGAGGTGCCGCCAGGGGGCCCAAGCGCCGATCCGAGAAATCCGCGCGGAGCTCCGAGTCTTTAGGTTGATGCCACTTTTGGTTCCCCCAGGGAGGGCAGAGGAGACACAGGAGGAAGGGAGAGGGCAGGGGGGGGAGGAGCAGCAGCGGGAGCAGCCAGCACGAGGAGGGAGGGCGGAGCACGAGCACAGGGGGCCGGGAGTAGAGCCGCGGCGCGCCGGAGAAGCTTCTGCAGGAGCCCCCTCCCTCATCCTCCGTCCCTCCCCCCTCCTCTCCCTCCTCCACCTCCGCGCTTCCGCTTCCCCCCCGAGGAGGAGGAGGAGGAGGAGGAGGAGGAGGAGGAGGAGGAGGAGGAGGAGGACCCCCCCTCCACCACCCCTTCCTTCCTGGCCTTCGGGCTCCGTCGTGCTGGTGCTGAGGGGGAGGGCCCGAGGCGCCTGCGCGCCTCCCCCGCCCGCCCCTCGGCTTCCGCTCGCTCACTCTCCCCCCGCCCTCCCCTCTATCTCGCGCGAGAGGAGCCTCGCAGCGCCCTGAAGACTCTACATGCGCTCCCTCCTTCTTCCCGCCTCCTCCTCCTCCTCCTCCTCCTCCTCCTCCTTCCCTCCCCCTTGCTCTCCCTCCACCACCTCCGCCTCCTCCACCTCCGCCTCCGCCACCCCCCACTCCGCCACCCCCACCTCCCCCTCCGCCTCCGCCGCCCTCCCCGAGCAAAAGAGGGACCCTGGCCCGACCCCCGCGCGGCACTCGGGCGGCTGCCCCCCGCCGAGGCGGCCTCTCGGACAGCGCGCAGTGGGCGCTC